ATTTTGTTTTTGGTGTATTTTGTTTTGTTTTTAGTGCATTTTGTTTTGTTTTTAGTGTATTTTGTTTGGAAGTCGGTTTTGTTTTTTTTCATATTTACAAACCTATTTTACTTATGTGGTAAAATTGTGGCAATTCAGTATCTATTGAGGTTTGTGATGTTAGTTTTGAAGTATGTTTTTTCTATTTATTTTCATCGATCATTGTCAGTATTTGCCTTTCTTTTACCTATAGCAAAAGATCTTCACTTTTATGGGACTTACAACGATTCGTTCTCTTGCATACGACAACAGATTCCTAAAAAAAATCGACATCCAAACAATATACACTAAAAACATAATGTTCTTAAAAAACATTATACACTAAAAAGTAACGAAATAATTCTTTGAATATGTAAACCTCCCTTACTGCAGCTGTTATGTCTATATTGTACAATTATTATTACACTAGCTGTTGCCAGCGACTTCGTCCGTGTGTGCTCAGTTAATCAATATCTCACATAAATATGGTTACTAATGTGTAATTTAAATTGAAACCATGACAATTAAGAAGACTTGGGATAACTAGTTTATGCAATCGTGTCTTGCTATGTTTTTTATGTTGCAATATTTTAAATTATTCATAGAATAAAAAAAAGAGTGATTTCAAATTTATTGTCAAGTTTTTTTACGCTTTTTATTTTCTGTTGATTTATTTTTTTTTGTTTCTGTTTCTTTCAGAGAACGTTTTCCACACCACGAGCTTATGATCGAGGTAAGTTAAGTTCTCTTTAGTTATAGTTGTCTTCTTCGTAAGTAGGTCTGTATTAAGTATTTGGTAAGGGATAAAATATTTTGCACCTAAATAAAGCAGATTGATATCTTTATTACCCAAAAGGTCCACAATAATGTATTAATCAATTATATTTTTTTACTTATATAAAATACTAGCTATTGCTTGCGATTTCGTCTGCGTGAAATAAAAAAAAAACATAGCCTATGTTACTCACAGATATATTACCTTTCTAATGGTAAAGTAATTTCTAAAATTGGCTCCGTACTTTTTTAGTTATTTCAATACATACAAAAATACAAATCTTTCCACTTTATAACTTTAGTATAGACATACGCATAACATACAAGTGTTTAACTATTAAAATAAAAAACAGTTCAATTTTTGCAATAAATTTAATACCTTTACTTTTTAGTATTTACGCTACGATATGTGACAAATCATGAAAATGCTCTGAAACTACCTTAAATCCAGATGAGTAAACTCATTAAATCTTAGAGTCCTATGTAAAAATTTTACTTGAAACCTACTTGAAGCGTCAGAAAATTTGCGCAATTCGTTTTTAGTGAATAGACTATAGCGAGTGATCCAGGTATATAGTCCATTTCGGAGCGTGAAAGCGGTGGGGAGGATCCGTAAAAAGCTTACCCTAGCTGTAGGGAGAAACCGATAGGAATTTCGTCGTGTTTTTGTTATACCTATATCTAAAATAAGCTGTGGCGCAGTTAAACAAATGTTCCGATTAAAGTTTTGGCGCGATTCTACTTTTTTAAAAAATAACAATCATATGTTCTATGTCCTTATCCATATCTATACTAATATAATAGTTACAAAAGATTTGTTTTTTTTTTTTGGTATTTTTGTATATATTCACGTAAATACTACTGGGCCGATTTCAAAAATTCTTTTACCAATAGAAAAGGTAATTTATCTCTGAGTAACTTGGACAACATTTTTACTATTATTTGATTCCACGCAGACGAAGACGCGAGCTAAAGCTACTGTTAAATAAATTAAAGGCTAGAAAAAAATGTTTTGTCTTAAAGCCTCTACACCTTAATCGAATTGAGACATTGAACTATACTAAGCAATTAAAAAAAATAGACTAAGTAAAATATATAATTATACTAGTTTCCGCCTGCAACTCCGTTCGCGGGGAATTAAAAAAAGTCAGTCACCTAGGCTAGGTGTTCTTCCTTTCTACCCTCTACATCTCATTAATTACAAATGTTATAGCGCAGTTAGTACACTATCTTAGACAATTAAAGTATCTTCTAACATTGATAACTTTAGCAGACAGCGTATTTGGAGGGCTTAATGGTCGTGGTCGGTGTGTCGTAGTAACATCTTCGCAGGTCGCGTGCTCGCCACGCGGTGGACGGTGGCACGGCGATTCACGACTCTGCTGCCCTCTCGTTCCCACTCTGCTTATTTATTTCACTAAGTTAGTATTCCTACGTGCGTCGCGAGAGTATGACGTGCTGTCAACATTTCGAAAATATATCGAAAAAATCATAGTTATGCATTCGTGTGTTATTATGCGTTAATCAACCTGTGGATATATTAGTGTATCAGTTTTGTGTAAGATACATTTGTTGGTCGAATCTCGGTCAAGTTCGAGTCATTGTTTACGTTGGTGCATGTGTGCATTATTTACCGGCAATTGAACATGAACCTGACACAATACGTTACTCGTAAACAATTTTTTTTCGAGTTACATTACAATTTAACAACCATCTCTGATGTATAAAATTACGTTTATTGTCAAACTGTTTTATCTAGACGTTTAGTATATTTTATTGAAATTCATATCTATTTAATCTCGTTACCGATATATCATATTTACGTGACAAGAAACTTGGATTTGGCAAGAACTCCGTAACTGTGTTGTTAAATTTAGAATATTGAAAATTATTTTTCCGTAATGTTTTTCTCCATAAAATTTCCTTCATGACATGCTCGTAACAAAACATAAAACATTTTTATAATGAAATAGGATTTTTTATATGAATAAGGACGAAATATCTCTATAGAAACCAATCTTTCTATATCTTTTCTAAAGCAATAAACCATAATATTTTTTGTGTACCTTCATAATACACATTATAGCGCAGATTCGGAAAATTAAAGATTAAAATTAGGAAGGCATATCTAAATGTGGTGAACATAAACATTTCTTAAAATTAATGTTAATTTCAAAAGTACTTAGTTATTGTATTAATTTAATTGATAAATTGAGCGTGGATAACTTTTTATTTGTGCCTCCGTACTACGTAAGTACCTAGCAAAAACAATTATCTATTTTAATGACGAATTCAATACGATCATATGTTTAAAGCGGTCTGCATTCGGCCTGTAAATTATTTTTTTAAATATGCACCTTTTTTGTAATCTAAAATTTCTTTAATCATATATGAGTAAGCTCGAAGCTTGTGCTAGGACACGGATCGCGGTAATAATCGAATGTCAGGATTCAAATCCATTTGTAATCTGTACTTTTAGGCAAAAATTATCAGTGACTAGCTTTCGTTCGCGATTCCGTCCGTGTGGAATAAAATAAAACAAAAATGATTAGCCTATGTGACTGAATGATGAGTCTTCCAGACTATCCTTTACATCTATACCAAATTTCATCGAAGTCTGTTAAGTCGTATGGGCTACAAACTCTAACAAACATCCATCTATCTAAACTTTCACATTTATAATGTTAGTATGATGTACAAGTAATTAAAGGGTTTTGAATATAGTATGGGTACAGGTAAAACAAGTTCCTAGGATTGAAGTTTTAATATTTATTTAGATTCTGTTCATGTTTATATACCTTCTTACCCCGATTTTAAAGGTGGAAGAGCCCGTTTGTTGTTTATTGCTAAATAATAAGTTTAGATTTTAATTCTCTATGACACAACAAAAATGCGCTGATTACGTAGCACTTTAGTGGTTCACCTCCAAAACTGAGAGACCCTGCATTAAATTCCGGTTTGTTCGTATTAAGTTTGTCGGAAGTTTATTATACATGCCGTTGACCTATATAAACACTTGAAAAAAGCCTACTTATTTTTTACGATTTACCGAAAGCAACGATTTAGTTAAATTAATAGAGATAATTAATTTAACTAAATTAAAGTTTTAATTCACTAAATGATAGGGATAAAAAAATCCATACAACAAGTTACATTTTTAGTTATTATGTTATTTAAATACTGTTTGCAAATATGGTTCGATGAACATACGGATGTATTTCCATTGGTGCCAAACGGAAATAAGAATTGCAGGAATCGACAAACCACACTACAGTTTTTGTCGAAACCGGGTTTAATGGAGTAAATTCTGGTGCTGAAGTAAAGAGAAATATGTAAGTAAAAATGTTACGTATTGACACGGTTTACCGTCAAGCACCTAAATGTTTTTCGCTTTGAAGGGCGTTGTAGCTTGTCAAATTTCCGAACTAACAAGTTGTCTTGATCAAGGTGGTGGTTTCAATTATAGCGCGATTTTTTAATTTACTAAATTCTTTACGGGACATTTATATGCACGTATTTCGCCTGTAAAATATAACATTCACCATAATTTCACATGGTTATGGATGATAAAACGCGTTTGTTGTGATCGACCTTAGCCTACGACTAGCTACTGCATCTTGTCTCAACTAAAATAACTTTTCCCTTCTCTTTGATCCAAAGGTCTCATTATTTTTTTTTACCTTTGAATATGTTTTAATAATTTTCTAATATCAACTTTATTATTATAAACAGATATGTGCTCATATATTATATTAAATATTGGGACGGAATTAACGTACAATTAATTTATGTGGACATTGTATGCTATCTTGTATACAAGATATGTATTATGCAATAATTAATGTACCACTATCCTACAGGTTCACTTGGAATAATGACTTACGATCTTATTTTGCAGTCGATATTAACAAAGTTATAAAAGTACTACGTGAACGACCAGTACATTGTCGTTTCTTCCTATTATATTTTTCGTCTGTACTATCGGTTTATTTACGCATAAATGTCGCTCAATGATTTATTCGTTAATGTTCGCTTATGATAATGATAGTGACAATAATCCTTATAACAGCTTCTTCATATTACTTATAATAGTACGTATAATACAAATTCAATGTATGACAATGCTACTTAACTGCTCTAAATAAATTATCTTACTGTTCTGATTCAGATATCTTAACACACATTTTCAAACACCTTTCGACTGAACAATGCGTAATTTTAACTTTATATGCTGGTACCTTATTTTGTATAGGCTTGCATAGTGCTTTTATTCATTTGTGACCTAAATTGCGAAGTGTTATCGCATTGTTTGTTATGCAAATGTCTCGATGGGGCTAATAAGTTAATAAAGAATATCGTATAGATATTTTAAAAGTGCACTCACTGCTTATTAAACTATAACCTGATATTTAAAGCTATAACAAGCTTGGGCTTGTTAGCAATTCAAAGAAGACATTGAAATTTAATTCTCTATACGCCCCACATTGTGATTCTATACCCTCGGTCTTGATAGCCAACGAATTTGCTGATGTATGCATGTTTATAAGTCAACGTGCATCTTACAAAATACTAATGTGTAAGGTTGGTAGAGCCCTCAAATTCACATGGTTTGCCGAATGGGCCTACAAGACCGTTGTAATACTATGACCACACAGAATGTTGGTGCGAATTTTATGTGTTTCCGGATTTCTTTGAATAATTGTGTTGCCGGATCTGTCATTCTAGTCTTAATTACCCCATTTTCTAATAAGAAATGGACAGGAAAGTAAAGATATGTTATGACTATTTTTTGTCAAATCATCCAACTTTAAACCGTAACCAAATTTAATTAAACTGTAAATAACTAGTCGGACGTTATAGTAAGCAGTAGTTGGCTGTTTGGATTCGATACTAGGCCTTCAGGTTTTAATGACTTATTACGGCCGTTCGACTTATTTCCACTTATACCCTACTAATGCA